TCGACACACGTAGGATTTTTTCGATATATTGATTTTTTCCAAAATGGCAAGTGATTGAACAAATTTTTCCATTTTCACTAACAAAAAACGTCACAAAATTGTTAATAAAAAAAAAAGTAAGCAAAATAAAAAAAAAATCCTACGTGTGTCGATAGACATAGGTATTCTGAGTATACTGTCAAAATTTTAGATCGATAGGTTAAGAGTTGTTCGAGTTAGGTGTTCGGCCAACCCAAAAAAAGTGGTTTCGAGAAAAACGCGTTTAAAGTTTTAAGTACTGTGGGATATACCTGTGAAGCATCGCCGCAGAATGGAAAATTTCGACACTTAGACACTTTTGCCGGACTCTATCTTTTGATATGTCATTTTTAAGACCCTAAAAAATTTTTTAAGCGAAAAAAAAAATTTTCGATTTTTTCAAAATTCTACTCAGATGTCCCCCCTTAAATTGCGTGGGCATTTTAGAAGTCTCCATGCAAACCCCTATAGCTTCATCTCTTATAGTCTCTGAGATCCACGCGTTTATACGGACAGACGGACATGGCTAAATCGACTCTGCTGTTGATGCTGATCTGAGTATATATATTTAGTATATATATACTTTATGGGGTCGGGTAAGTATACATTCATTTACACGAATACACTACGCGAATACCTTGTACTCAACGGCGGGCTATGGTTAAAACTCAGGACTAATAAAAGACTTTGTTACCCATATTCCCATATCATATAATTTCCCATATCATTTTGTTTAACATGTTTTTAATTTTCTTCCCGTTTAAATTACGGACTCTTCTATGAGAATATAAGTTCACGTTAAGCATTTTTTTAATTACTAATTCTAATATTCCTTACCCTTAATGAAGTCATAAAATATTTAAAAATTAAAAACAAATTGTATGGGTTTAACTTTTGTTTTCAATGCAATCTTCCATTGCGCTTATTCCTTTCTTTTACACACTGCAGTGTACTGCAGTGTAACAGTGCACTGTTACTCCGGAGCGCTAGCAAAATTGCACTGACTTGTTTTGGAAAAGCGTTAAGTTATAACCACTTTCATAATTTCTTAATGAAATTGGGGTCGTTTTATTCAGTATTAATGAGACAATATTGATATTTGTCAAAAATAACACAATAAAAAACACGAAAAAATTTTGTAAATGTCCCGGAAAAAGTTTTTTTTTTAATAATCAGGATTTTAGGTGTATTAAAAATATTTCAAAAACGGTTTTGTGCGGTCGACGTCATACAAATTTCCTACTATGTCACTTTAAAAGTTAGTCAATTATTTGTTTTTGTAGCACCGTATAATAGGTAAATTAAAATAAATCGATAACAGTTATTATTCTCTCTATTAAGAGGATCAAACCTTCAAAATCTTCCGCCATCTTAGATCTGCTATTCTCAATTAAAAAAGTTTGATTACAATTCCAAATCAGAAACATGAAACCTCCTCTCATAGTAAGTTTCAAGCAAGCCCAATAGTTTTATTGAAAAATCTTTTATCATCATGAATCCACCTTTTGAATGTTGGTAATCTTACAATTTGCTAATTACCTACCTCAAAAACCACTCAATACAAAATTTCTTGCAAACTTATTACTTTAAAATTTTGATGACCGCCTGCAATTTGACCACCTTTTGGATCTGCAATTTTGGATTTCTGAAACTCGTAGTTAACGACCCCAAAAACAACCTAATGCCGAATTTCATAAAGATTTATTAGTTTCATAAAGATTTATTAGGTTGCAATTGTGAATTGTAAGAATATGACATAATATTCGTAATTAGCAACCCCAAAAACTCATCAATATCATATTTTATGAAAATCCATTATTTTAAAAATTTTGATCAGCCATGATCATGTTGGGTCAACCATTTTGAATTTTTCATTTTTGAGTTTAAATTCGTCATCAATAACCTCAATAACATTTGTATACCTGGTTTTATTTAAAAAAAATAATGCCTTCCTTATTTGGTCACTTTTTCAAGATTGTGGCCCACAGTGCAACGTGGGGAATCAATGATGCTACGAAAAGCTAAAAATATATTAAGTTTCCAAGAGGCAAGAAAGTTGTGAAGAAGCTAAAAACTGAGACTGAAATTGAAACAGGTAGCAGCTGCCTGGTGCTAAAGTGCCAACTTATGCCACGAAAATGCTTGAATATAATGGCCGTTGTGAGAGGCTTGAAGAATGGCATTGTGGGTGGTTGAGGGGTTGGCGGCAAGTGGTGGTTTGGGTTGGGATGGAATGGTCGGTAAGGTTGTATGGTATGCAATTGTGCAATGCCACCACAAAGGCCGCCAAGATGATGTGCAAAAGTGGAACGAGAGCTTCCTACGCTTCTGCGTTGGCATTAAGTGGCATGTGGAAGCGGCTACAAGGACACTGATAATGACGGAAAAATTCCCTTGGTACATACACATAACGCACATGGCTCTGTTGGCTCTGCTCATCGCATTATCAGCCCAAAGAATAAACTAGTTGGTACTTATCTCAAACGTCATTGCAAGGTATCGTGGTGACTGTGGAAATAATTTTAGGAAATTTAAATTAAGCACAACGTAAAAGCAAGAAGAAAATTTTAACTTTACTTACCCCTCTAGTCATATAAGTCCTTAGGATACATACCAAGCGGGTCACGTATACCTCCCTAATACCCTGCGCTTGCCATATATAAAAATTGCACCAGCAGCCGCAAGATAGTGGCAAAAGAGCACTTGCCGACCTTCCACCGGCTCGCCCCTAAAACCCCGCCTTTAAGACAGGTACCGTTGACAGGTAGGGAAGGTACGTTGCGGGTTGGTTGGATGGAAACGAAATCGACCTTGACTGACAGCTTGACATGAACTCGACGTTGCTGCTCTTTACTCAGCTTCACGCCGAGATCCAACATCAGGCTCATTATTTTCGCTTTAGCCGGACAGCAGGCGGTCAGGGTGGTGGTCGGATGGTTGGAATGTAAATGGCTGTGCTCTTTAAGCTGACAAACCGCAAAGAGCTGCGCGTGGGTGGTGGTGTGCTAGACCTCGGTCCAAAGTAAGTAACTTCAGCAAACCGACTCCCCTTTGGCCAGATGAAGCCCGCTTAAATGGCAAACCTTTTTCTGGTCCCATGCCTTTTGACACGTCTGCGTGCTTTAAGTTCATAAGCCAGCTGGGAGTTTTATCAGCCTTGGGCACAGCTTAATTACATTTTGTTTCCAAATAAATCAAAACGAACGTAATGAAATTAAGATAAGCTAAGATAAATACCAAATAAAATGTTGAGCCATACAAAATGGCAAGGAATTAAAGAAAATTAAACAATTGTTGTTGAACAACAAAAAATGGCCACATTAGTTCGACTCTTTATTGCTAATAGTTTTTTTCTAAATTATACTCCAAATATATTATAAAACTTTTTAAGAGGCTAAATAATATTTTAAAGTTAATATGAAATTGAATATGGTTTTAGCATAAAACCTTTCAATTATGCTCAAAATAGTTTATTTTTGTAAATATGGGTATTTAACAGGTAAATATGTGTATTTAATAAATATGAGTTTTATTTTGAAAATCACAAAATAATCAATGTTCACATTCCCTGGTATTTAACTATTATTAAAAACAAGAAAGGGAAGCTAACTTCTGGCGGAGCCAAAGGTGATATACCCTAAGCTAAGCAGCTAAGATCGGACATAAATCAAAAATATCGGACATAGTTGTCTGATCGTAATAAAGAGTTTAAAAAAAGTCACAAGCTTCTATCTTCAAAAATACCAAAGTTGGTATTTGGTAAAAATAGCTATAGGATTTTGTCGGCGGATCCCGTTTCGTCTTATATACTGCGTGCGGAGGGCATATAAACTCATATCAATTCATATCAACTCAAAAGGTTATCCGGACCAAGGATATGTGTATATACTTTACAAGAACCATGATGACTCCTTAACTGCGTTGCACATTTTTGACCAATATTATAATACCCTTTGCAAGGGTATTAAAGAAAATACATTCAGGGTACAGTTAAAACTATTTGAACCGGGTATAAAAATTGTAGTCTAAAAATCAAACAAATTGCATTCATTGTAGACCGCGTTACGGTCTTTCCTTATTTTCTTTTTAGACCGAATCTTAAAATACAATATTTAACACTAACGCTCTTTTAAGACGCGTATTAAATATTTATGATGTTATGCCTAGGGCCCAAATGAGCAATTGATGGTGACGCTATGGGAGTATCGGCCCAGATTCACTTCCCAGGGCCATTTCCATTTTATACAAAATATCCAAATTGCTCCGCCCTAAAAAGTAGGCAACGTTTTTCATTCAAATGCCAGAGGCCCAAAAGACAATGTCAAGCTCTCCTCCTGTGCGACATTGTGTGTGTGGTCGTGCGAAGGATATGGTTCGGGAGGGGTATAAAACGGCTATCATGTCGACGTTGTCGTTGTCGATGTCCCAGTACCGTGCCAAAGGTTCATAAATTCGTTTTAATCCTGCTTTATGGCAACATCACATCGAACATGAACTTTAACGCGCATGTGACTACGTCGACGGCTTCATTTGCATTTTACAACTTCATTTGGCAGACGGAATGCGAGGCGAAAATAAAAAAATGTTTCTGGGAACCGATTGCCTCAGTTTCTCCAAACCGAAAAGGGAATGGACTACCTGCCGTTTGCCTGCTATGGTGGTAGGAAATGATTATTTAATCTTTGCCATTGAGCAGGGGCGTGTCCAAAAAGGCCCCTGCGTATTGTGGTACGATGCACGATAATTATATGCCCTCCACCTCGACCCTTCATCGAGCGGATAGTCAAAACTCTAAAACATTATTGTATAAAAAAAGGCTTTGTTACATGTATTTTTATTCGCATAAATTATTCATATTCAATTACTCAATCATTAAATATTTTTTATTCTTTTAAAATTCCCAATTATCTTACCGCTTGATCCCATGAAAACTATATATATTTTTTTTTTAAATTTTCAACTAATTTATTTTTCTTGGTTGGTTGGGTGAAATTTTTGTCAAGTTTTAGCTCGGTGACACACTAAAATATGCGTTACTTTTTGTTTTTATTGTAAGTGAACAATTTCTTAATCGATTGAATCCAGTTTGATTCCAATATTTAATTGGTTTAAAACTTTTGATCTTAACTGTAAACAACTAAAAAAACACACGTCTAACAATCAACCGATACTTCAATCGATGAATCGATCCTCTGTAAATCGATGCTCGCAGTCTGTGCCAACTCAATTGTATGATTTTATAAGATCGTCTTATATTAGCTTCTTGGTTTATATATGAGATCACTTAAAGTACATAAACACTTGTAGTTAGACTAACACGAGAGTTTTAGGGGGTACTTGGGAGGGGTACAGTCTAAGAGGGTTTTACTCCAGAAAGTTTCCTTCGACTAAGGGGACTGCTGACTATACACACATAATGATCTTTCTATGGGTTCTCCTTAACAATTTCGTTACGTGTAATATATTTTTAATAGCGAGTATAAAGAGTGGAAAAGTTTTACTATAATACAATAGAGAGGCTGGGTATTTAACCAGTTAAGTGACCTCGAACTACCTGAGCCTAACTAACTATTCAGACAAATGCAATTTCATCAATCAGGCATGAGCTTACAAAGCGATTTATATATTTTTAATTCCAATTCAGTTTGAAAAATAGAATTTTTAATTTAGGACTAGTTTGAATTCAACGGGTAAGTATGACTTGCAATTTTTACAACATTTTAATCATCAGCATATACATAGATCGACTATAGCTGTCTTCAACTAAACCATAGAAACTAAAACGATTCAGTTTGCATAAAATGGGTACTTTTATTTCGCTAAGGGAAAGATCATGCCTTCTTCGGGTGTCCGAAGAACCCTGATATCATTTTCGCTTAATTCCCCGGCTGTACATTTTCGATTAGCTTTTAAATATATCCTGTCTTGGCTGCGGGGAGGCTGGTGAACCACCTGCCACGCCGGCACCCCCATTCGCACAACCGTCCGCGTTCAGGCGTTTGAGCATGGCGTTGCGGTGGAGCCAATAGGGCGGCGGGTCCGGTGGTTGACCTGGGAGCAAAGTCTTAGCTTTCAAGTTGCCCGCCGTTGGCGGCTTTGGACTATGCGAGGCCGCACTGTACATCACAGGGTCAGCCACCTGGGCCGCCGACTGTCCGACGGCCACTCGGAGAGGAGTCTCCTTTTTTCGGATCGTGTCACAGGTCTCTTTCATCTTGCATAGCTGGTCCTGCAGGTTGCGATACTCCTCTAGGAAACGCTCCAACTGCGCAGCGTGGTAATCGTAAGCGGCCACCGAGGAATTGGCTGCCCCGGCGGCTCTCGACGCCAGGGCGGTGAAATCTAGAAGAGGCGTGGCCGCGCTTGACAAGGATCTCTGATGCTGCACTGGACTGGAGGGAAGGCTCGGCTTTTGTCCCAGGTGTCCCGCCAATAAGCTGCTTGGGCCCTTGTGGGCGCCACTTTGGACCAGATTGAGAAAGCTGTTTGCCCTTTGACCGCCACCCGTGTAGGACGTTGTACTCGAGTAATTCGCATAGCTGGACTCTGCTGAATATCTACGACCTACGCCCATAGCTTCGTTAAGAAAAGTTCCGTCGCCCAGAGTGCTGCTGCCGTATTTGCTTGAATTTTCCGCCAAAAGTGGCGACTGACTGTCCGAAGAATTGCGGAAGTACTTGCCACTTGTCTTCAGTTTCCGGGGCAATGTGCAAAGACCCCCGTTTGAAATGGGCGTGGCTTGGCCATAAGCCTGCCCCTGACTTTGCTGCGCCTGCGCCACCGCATACTTGGCAATATCCAACAAGTCCGGGTAATTGCTATCAAAAAACTCGCTTTCATGGCCTTCGCTACAAAACACGGAGGTTGCCATTCCGTCGTCGGCTGCTCTGCTTCCGTAGTGCACGAAGGGCGTAGCCGAGGAGGTGGTCGTGGCCGTAGGCTTGCTGTGCGGTGATTTGATCTTCGTGGTAGCAATGGGCGTGGTTTTCCAGGACTGCCCGGTGTAACCCGCTAAGCGGGCTGCGGCGTCTACTTGACTGGAGATGGAACTCGAGGCCGAGTCGGTTCTAAGGGCGAAAAGATGTGCTATTATTAAAAATTTTTCTCATGTGAATCCGTTTATAAGGTGATTTTTTTTTTAATTTTACAGTAGGATAGTTACTGTTACGTCCAATCTGTAAGTCTCTTTTATGTTCGCAGCTCGTGTCTTGATGCGCCCTCGACTCGGCTTTGCTTACGCAGGCCGATCAAGGACTGCGTGAGCTTCGGAGCGCGGAAATAAAATTCACTCTCTTGCGAACATTCAGAATAAACGGGTCGACAAGGAACCTAAATAAGTTTTTCATTGGTAGTGCGTCACCTACTATAATTTTAAGTCTGCATTTACCTTAACTAGGGAACTTTGTGGTTTTTAATTCTGTTATTTTTGGCTTATTATACAAAATTATGATTCAAATTATAGCAGTCTGGTCGTATTCTTAGTTTTATCTCACTGAGAATATATATACTATAGTATAAGCAGAACTCCCATACTCGAAATAAATGTGGAAAAGTTTCCACTATCTGAAAAGAAAAGAAAAATGGAGCGCCTTTGTATCAGCTTGGGCCAGATTTTTTAGCTTCTCGTTTCGTATACGACTTTGTCCTCGTCCATGAAGATAACCAGCCCCATCAAGTATATCCATTAACCCGCAGTCGTGTCCCTGGTATTTATTTCACATGACAAGCGCCAATCAGGCTGAGTGAGTTCTCAGTGGGTGCAAAAATAAAGCACTTCTCCGTACTCATGGATGTTGGGGGATATGTTTACGGAGGTAGAAGTGGATGTGCTCGCATATTTCGCGCGTCATTAGCACGCGCGTTTCTCCATTTGTGCGAAATGGAGGCTGAGGCAGGAGGATTGGTGTGGACTGAGGGAGAAGATGGGCTGGGCGAGCTCAAAGTGGAAGTGTCAAGTGTTGCCCATAATAGGGACGCAATACGGAGATCCGGGTGCGTTCCGCACTCGAGCATGACAGCTCTTTGACAGAGACACGGCCGGTCGGAGGACAATTGCCACTCGAAGTTACGAGAACCGAAAAAACAAAAGGTACCGGGGGGCGTCCAGGGAGAGGTAAGACCTGCAGCACTGAGCGAAACGGAAATGGTTAAATGAACCAAACTTTCGAAAACTAACTATTTCACATACAATGTAGAGTTTTTTAAGAGCTTTTTTTTTATTCTGCATTCATTCTTCTTTACCTATATTAATGTTTCTATTTAAAGTCCCACAATTAAAATCTTAGCCAACTAAATCCATATAGTTTTATACATTTTTTACATTTTTTAAATAGTTGGACCAAAATTTTTAATTTGGCGAAACATATTCATCCTTTGGTTTTTAAGAATTCCATTAATTTTTAACATGTTCCATGCTTATCTTGGCTTGTTGGTATGTTAAGTTAAATATTTGTGTAGATATTTATAAAACATATATATTGTTTTTGTTCACCTAATAGACATTGATTATTGAGCTTCAGAAATTGGGGATGAGTAAAAATAAATGCCAAATGGAATTTATTAATATCTGACTTTAGCTATCCTTGGACTTGAGAAAGGCTTGTTTAGTTTTTTGAGCGTAGTGCGACTCACCCGCTGATGTCGATGAGGCGTGGTATGTGCAGATCCGTTTCCTCCATCGGCGGTGAAATGTTCGGCACGGATTCGGAGACAACATGGCTCTGGGAGCCTTTCCTCTGCTGATTTTGCTGTGGATTCGCAATTGCTTGTAGGTGGTGCTCGTGCAGCTGTTTCTGCTGCTCTTCCTCCTCGTCATCGCAATGGGTGGATACGTGCAGGTAGTCACCGTTTCTTCTCTGAGCTCCTCCGGCTGCACTGGGATTCACTATGGCCGCTGCCTCGTTGTCGCTTATCGGAGTGTTCCCTACTCTCAAATAGCTTTGCTCTTCAGAATCAGGGAAGAGACACGCTCCGGTGGCACTACCGCCCCCGCAGCTAGCCCCGCCTCCCAGATCCGGTCGCGTCCTAGCCGACATTTCGATCTTTTCGTAGCTTTCACTTCTTCTTACTGGTGGTACTGAGTTCCAAAGTCTAAGTTTTCTTCGCCTTTGCATAGAACAGAAGCATATAGCGGCAAATGAAGAGCCACCGACCAGAAGAAGGGCAGCTATGACGCCGAGGAGTACAGTCCTTATGGCCCAGGGTGCTTCTGGAGGTCTTCTGGATACGGCCAGCGTAACACTGGCCTCCACTTTGCCGGCCTTATTTTCTGCAGCACATGTGTAGATTCCCGCATCCTGCATATCGGCTGTAAGAATCGTCAGATTAGAGGCGTTTCGTAGCATATTTACTACATAGGTTTTTCGTCCTTGAGTGGCTGCTGCAGTCCTGGGCTCCGACTCGGAATCACCTTTCCCGCCGGCACTGAGATTGGCTATGAGCCGATTTTTTAGTAGCCACTTAACGGCTGGTTGGGGAACACCTTCCACATAACAGCTCATAGTGATGTTTCGGCCCTCGACTCCATGGGCAGTGGTGTCAGTAGCCACGATCTGTGGTACACAGGCGAAGTCATCCACATCTAGCTTGTCCCAGGCTCTTCCAGACAGCCTAGCTGGAGCAGCACAAGTGGGGGGTACGCCACTTGGAATATTTTGTTGCAGCATCCAGGCTCTAAGAGGTCTTAGAGAACAACTGCAGTTCCACTCGTTTCCGGCCAGTTCTAAGCCATGTAGCGACGCCAAGGAAGTTATGGTGCCACTCCGAACTTCACTTAACTGATTTCCGTCTAGTTTCAGCCACTCCAGGCTGCTTTCCAGGCCGGCAAATGCCTGAACAGCAATGTGGCCCAGTCGACAATCGCTCAACTCTAGCTTGACCAATTGAGGCACGTGTCTGAAGGCATCATCAGGAACACGAAGTATGGGGTTTCCGCTCAGTCGCAGTTCCCGCAGTTCCGAAACGTGAAACAAAGACAACGAGGGTATGGCCGAGAGCAGATTTTGACTGAGGTCTAATTCTACCAGATTGATAAGCTTACGAAACGCATGGCGTTCAATTAGCCTCAAATGACACCTGGCCAAGTATACCTTTTGCAGGTTTAACAATTGGGCAGAGGCGAAGCTGTCGTCGGGTATAGACTGTATTTCATTACCACTCAAGTCCAGCAGCTGAGTGCCAGGTTCCAAAGGCCTGGGGATATGTGTAAGGTTGGCGTTAAGGCACAAGACGGACTCCTTTCCGCTCTTCCACTTGCACTCGCACACCGCCAGGCACTCGGCGTTCACTGCGCTCTGGGCCAGTTGGCAGCAGCAGCACAGAAGCCAGAGGAGAAGGCGCAGGTGTTGGGTCAGATGCAGGATCAGGCGAAGGGACTGCAGAAGGGGTGGGTGCAGACGCCACTGGGGGCGTGGCCCTTTCCGACGCACCTTGGTGGCCAACGTGCGGCACTGGGCACTGTTGTCGCTGGCTATGTCCTGGCCAGCTCCAAAGGGTGCACCAACAGCCGGAGCCCTTCCCACGGCCATAGCATACTAGAACGCCTCGCCGTAGGTCTGAAAGAAATTCAAAATGTGAAAAAATTAAGTTATGTGAAGATGAAAAAGAAAAATTTTTTTGTTATAAGTTTATTATCTGTAATTATTTTGTTCATGTTATTAGTTTTGTATTATCTATATTTTGTTTATCAGTTTCGTTTATATTTCAAATATAATATACTTGTAGAGAATCCTGTGATTCCTCTGAAGTAGGTCTTTGACTGGCTGAAGGTAAATTATTTCAGGATCTTGTTCAGAATAAGAAATTAAAGATTTTGGTACTGTGTAAACACCGATAAATATTAGCATTAGTTTTCATTAACTTACAAAGATGAAAAGGAAGGAAATAATTGGCACAGCTAAATATAAAATAAAGCGAATATATGGATTTGAGTTCAAGTTTAGAACAATGTGCAAGTTTAAAAAAAAACATTGATATTTTCCCAAATAACAACCAAATAACAAATAGAGTTATATACTCATTGTTTGGTCTTGTGTGGGAAGCAAAAATCTTTTATTTTATTCATTTCATTAATTATATTATTATTCTCTAATATTGTATATATTTACTTATAGCGGTTTGCGCATCTCTTATCGCTGCAGTCTTATCTGCCCGGTGCATTATCGAGTTTTGCATTTGTTCCCTGTTCGCGGTTTGGGCATGAACATGTTTGGTTCGTGCATAAGCTTCCTGTCCCTAACTCTCGGACATTTCAGAGTGGGAAAAATACCCTCTGGAAATCCTAAAGAAGTTTAAAATGACTCAATGATAGAGATATGTTTTTGAAACTTGTGAAAAGGCAGGATGAACAGACAAATACCACAGTGCGACAAAAAAAAAAATAAAATTGGAGGAACTTTTAAAGAGACCTGGTAGGAATTGTTTATTTTGTCGAATATAACACAAAACCGTGTTTTAAAAATTTTTAGCACCTCAAAATCTTGATTTATTTGGAAAAACCCGTTTTTCGTGCCTTTTTTGCGCTTCAAAATTCCTAAACGCGTAATTTTAAACCGATTTTAACATTTCCGACGTTTTACAATAGTTAAATATTGTAGAAAAAAACAGACAGAGGGACAGACGGACATGCTTATATCAACTCAGAAGGTGATCCTGATCAAGAATATATATAATTTATGGGATCGGAATTTGGGGGAGTGTAGGGAGTAGTGGCCTAATATAGTGGCCTTAATAATTCCATATTTAGGCCAATCCTTGCATATCGTAGCAAAATTATAAACAAAAAATTTTTTTGATGTTGTATGTATATCCAACCTAGCAGTACCAGTTTAACTAACCCTTTAATTTTCTCAAAACTCCCAAAAAAAACTTTTATGCCACCCCATAAAAACACTAGCTTTACTACATTTATTGTGTTTCCCTTTTTTGCACCGCGAATTGTTTGAACTGGCTAGATTTTCAAGTCGCCCACTGCACTATAGGAAATTTGACCACTTTTTCTGGCCAAAAACCATTTTTTGAAAGTTAAAGGATTTAAATAATTTTAACTGCATATCATTCACAATAGATTAATTTTTAATGTTGCATACCAGAAATTTTCATAGATGGCGCCACTGCGAAGAAAACAGCTGTTACAAACAGCTGTTGATGTTAACATTTACATGAGCTTAGAATTTACGATTTTTTGGTGCGATTTTAAAAACACGAATACTTAAAATTTTATGGACAAAATAAAAAGTTTTGAAATTAATACTTTTTTAAGTGGTTTGTATTGTGTGTTTGTGTATGTGAAGTGTCCAAAAAACTTGTGTTGTCCTTTTAATAAAGTGAAAATGTAAGCAGTCTAGCATAAGAAATTTTTAGAAATAAATCACATTTTTAAAAAGAGATTTAAACCAAGTCTGGCGGAGTCGGACAATGTAATTTAGTCCATGTTGTAGATTGTTTAATTTTCTTCAAATGAGTGAAATATGAATATGCATAAAAATGCACTTTCGAAGAAATTCATAATTTAAGGAGGCAACCTCAACACCTTGAATGTGAATCTGTTAGCTGTGAGACTAGTGCAAAACCGAACAGTTAGAATGTTATTTTTAAATAGGGGGCGGTGCCACGCCCACAATTTTTCATTTCTGAGTTCTTTTGACCATATAAACCCAAATCAAAAATCAAAATTTAAATATCTTGCTTAGTTTTTGAGTTAGAATGTGTTTCTTAAAAAGTGGGCGGTGCCACGCCCACATTTTTTTAAAATATTGAATCTATTGACCATGTGAACTCAAATCAAAAATCAGAACTTAAATATCTTGTTTCGTTCTTGAGATATTATTTTTGGCCAGAAAAAGTGGTCATATTTCCTATAGTGCATAGTTGCCGTTTATCATATGTGCGCACGACGCAATGAAGTATGCAACATGCAAATGTTGCCGCCTGCTTTTTGTGTTGGCCTCTTCTGGTTCTTACTTTCTTCGCCCTTACTCCCCAGCTGTATTTTCGTTCGGGGCCGCAGACACTAATCCTATTTATGTTGCAATGAAGCGAGGTTAATAATTTTATGTCCAACTACACAACTGCAACGTCATTTGTGTCTGCTGCGTCCGCTGCAGTCGCTCCCAAGCCGCTTTAGTGTCCCTGTCATTCTGCTTATGACATACGATACGTGCTCCGAGTTCGAGAAACTTTCCATAGAGTTTCCGCAAATACAAACAAGAAATTCTCAAAATTCCCCCGTATTTGGAATGGGGAAGAAAGACGAAGAAGCACTAGAGATGCGTTCGTTCTTATGAGCCTCCTCAGTCCTTTTGCATCCTTAAGAGTCCGTCCTTATATAAATATTACTTATCACTCCTTCCCTTTCTTGGATCCATCAGGATTTTTGGGTTCATTACGGTTATTCATATCCATTCTTTTATAATTACGTCCAACAAAGAAATTTTGTTGCTGTTTTTTATAACAAAATATTTTACTAAAAATGTGAGTCAAAATAAAGAAAGAACGGCTTTAGTCGAGTTTCCCGACTATATTATATCCGGTATTCATCTCTTTCACCCACAATTTAAATACATATGGGCATTTCCTGGGGTCGCGAACGTACGTTCGTACGCAATTAGTGCAAAAAATTAAAGAAAAAAACATTTTCTGATACTTTTTTTTTGTTCCCGATAGCATTTGGTGAGTTCTTTTCTTCTGGTTCTTTTTCTGGTTCTAATAGATTTTTCATTTTCATAATATTAACAAAAAACATGAGGTCGCGAACGTACGCGAAATGGAAGTCGGTTTTGGCTTGCTCTAGCAAAATCAATAAATCTGCGAATTGGAATGGAATATTTTAATGCAGTACCTCTACTTTTAAAATAGAGGCATGTAGCTTTCTATCGAGTCTATTCCCAATTAAATATCTCCATTAGTTTTTATACCCTTGCAGAGGGTATTATAATTTTGTCCAAAAGTGTGCAACGCAGTGAAGGAGACATCTCCGACCCTATAAAGTATATATATTCTTGATCAGGATCACCTCCTGAGTTGATATGAGCATGTCCGTCTGTCCGTCTGTCCGTCTGTCTGTTTCTACGCGTACTAGTCTCTCAGTTTTAAAGCTATCGTCTTGAAACTTTGCACACACCCTTCTTTCTTTTGCACGCAGTATATAAGTCGGAACGGCCCGGATCGGCCGACTATATCCTATAGCTGCCATATAACTGATCGATCGGAAATGACCCAACTTTCGTGTTTTTGAAGATAGAAAGCTGGAATTCAATACAGATTATATTTTTAGTTAGTTGATCCAACCTACTAAATTTCATTAGGATCGGCCGACTATATCCCATAGCTGCCATATAACTGAACGATCGGAAATGGTATTTGGTAGAAATATCAACTTTCGTATTTTTGAAGATAGAAGTTTGGGACTTTTTTTTAGATTTTATATTATAATAAATTGGGTCATATATTCCTATTCCCATAAGGATCGGCCAACTATATCCGATGTTTGCGATATATATCCGGTTTTAACTGCAAGGGTATATCAACTTCGGCTCCGCCCGAAGTTAGCTTTCCTTTCTTGTTTTAAATTAAATTAAGTACGGGTCGCGAACGTACGAGTCGCAAACGTACAATTTTTCCACATATAAAATTTTTTTTTTTTTGTTTACCTCTTTGTTTTTATAAATAAATTTATATTTTCTTAAAAAATCATGTTTCACCAATTTTTTTTTTTTTTTAAATAAAATATTAAATTTTAATTTTATTTTTAATTTTAATTTAATTTCAATTGTCACTTCTTTTATCCATCTACAACAATTAAACAAAAAAAATTTTTTTTTTTTTAAATAATATTTTTTATACGTACATACGTCATACATACGGTCGCGAACGTACGCCACTTTAAAATTCAATATAAAAAAAATTTTCTTGAAAAAGTCGGGATTTTTTTTAAAATTTTAGTAGTTTACACTAAAATGACTTAACACATGAAGTTTCATCCACCTGCTTTCACTTGATGCGAAGCAATTACAATAAAATTATGTTTCGGGTCGCGAACGTACGATTAGAACATAGATAAGAATCAAAGTACAAATTAAGAGGTAATCTCGCTCTCTTTGATTTTTTCTCATCTTATTAGATTGTTATTAAGAGATTTAGTACAAAAAGAGCAAACACATCATATGTTTTCCTTGAGAAATAAATAAACATAAAAATGTCTTTAAAAGTAAAAAAAAGGTAAAAATTACATTTTTTGACTTTTTGGGTTTTTTTTTTTTTTTTAAACTGATATATGCTATGAATCTAATAGATTATGAAAATTTGGATATTTATTTATGAAAATACAAAAAAAGAATCGAGGAATTTGGACATTTATTTTTTCGGTCCTGGTTGACCATCCGCCGGAATAGCCGATATTTTTTAGAGATAAAACTTTAACGGTATGGATTCTCAGTAACAATTTTTGTTTTATTTTTGCGACATTCTACCGATTTATTAGGGAAGCCGACTAAAAAGTCAACAGCTTCTCCAAAAATTATCCCATTTGGCTGATTTTTGATTTTTAGGTGTAAAA